GGTACATTTCATGAGGAGCCTAACGAAGGAACAAGAAATAGCAATCGCACGCGAAGCGTCGTAAAAACGACACGGGCATCGGAGCAATGAGCACCAACCAATGTGGCATTGTCCTGCGCCCGACGAAAAACATTTCACCTAGAGAAGTACAACAACCGTGCAATGTAGATGATCTACAAACCATCCATAGGTATTGCGCGTGTTTCCTACCCTACAACCCATAAACAGAGAGAGAAGGCTCAGAGTGCGTAAACACCACATGTAAAAGACGTAAACATTCGAGTGCGGCATAGGTGCGCGTTATGAACAAGGACCCGGTTCGTGTTCTGCGTCAAAGGGGTTTGTTTTCAAGAAGCCAGTCAGTCACTGCTATCTTCACACGATGCCGCAAGAAAGAACAGACAAAACAATGGACGCCGTATTCGTTACTCCACGATTCATGTGCACGAAATGACTCGTTGCATGCGCCAAACACAAAGGTGTGGGTGAAGGAGCGAATCAATCCCAGCCACACGCCTCCAACCCAGCCACCACCATGAGAGACAGCGGGTAGAGGGAGAGCACCATAACTCCGTCGACCACCCTGAATGTGTTTCGCAAGGACAACACAGCCATTGCCACCTGCAGTCACACGAGCCGACAACGACGTACAAACAAAACGCGACCGTTACCACATGTGAGTTTAGCGGGCAACACCGCATTCAATCCAGCAAGGCGAGATGCGAGGGTGGGTGGCTACATGTAAGTCGCAAGCGAAACCGCACAAGGGGGGCATGCCGTGGATTGTCCGGATCCTAGCGGTGCTTGCTGCTTGCAAGCAAATACAGCAGCATTCGCATCACAATGACAGAACAAGACCAACGATCAACATACCCTGTTAGTACATCGTACCAGGTATTGTACATACAACCCGCGAATCTACCCACCTGCACTAGGAGGATGGTGACCGTTTCCGCGCTGAACTCCCATGCCAGGTTCCGGAAGTAGATGAGGAACATAAACACACCCAGGCAGAACGTGTTGTTCATGCACGCGGCGCCCTGCAAAAACATTCAGAAGAAGGAGGCGCTCCATTCACGTTACGGGGCATATGTGGTGCGAATCTTGCAAAAAGACGTGAATTGGTGACCGGGGAAAGCGTGGCGAAACATCCAAGACAAACAACGCGCATTTCAAACGCACACAACGGGCGCAAGCAACAAAAAGTACCATCCTCAGTCTCTCTCGCCTGCAGTGCTGCGAAAGAGATGACGATCGTGCGACTGGTCTTCTTGAGAGAGTAGTTGAAGGCGGCAATGAGCTCGCTAGCGTTGGACGCGAGCGGCGCCAAGACGAACGAGATGTAGAAGGACGAAATTCCCGTGCGGTCGCCGAGGACTCCGAGCACGTCCACCATGGGATCTGTCGCAACAAAAGGCATCACCGAAGTCAAAGGCATGTCAGAGTTGCCTTGCGCATTGACGCTTGGTCTTCGGGTGCGCCCGGGCCTTGCGCAACCCTTCTTGGAGGACAAGCCTGTTCACCGCGCACGGCAGGCCTTGATTTGACTGTCAGAACCGTCTCCGTTCGCTGATGTATTTTGGGGTACGGGACGAGGGAAAGAGATAGAAGTGCTCAGCAAGAGCAAAATCCCATCACGGCAGCTCTGCGAGCTGTCTAGGTCCAGGGGGGTTAACGACGGTCCGCCACAGTTCGTAGACCTCTCCAATATGACAGAGGGTTATCGATTCGTCGTGCTGTCGCATCGATACCTGCCCGTCGTCCATTTGCGACATGTTTCAAATAATATGTCAGGGTCCCAAATCATGAATTGAGCGCTCTTGGATGGCCCGGGGGACAATCTGTGTTTTTCTACTGTATTACGCCCAACACGAGCCCTTCAAGCAGCACGCCCGAAGTCCCAGTCGGACTACAGTATAGCACTTTGGTGCTTCCTTGTCCCTATCTATCTGGTCACGAGCGTCGAACAAACCATGGTCAATGAACAACAGCAGGAGGGATTCTACACCAACCCTGCTTGATTCGCTAGTATGCATACAGTCCTGGAGGGACAAGGACTTGCAAATTCCGTGTTGCACTACGAACGTTGTCCGTAGACACAAGCTTGCTCCGAAATTGGCGTATACGGTCATGAGAAGGGGCCCGTCTGCCAGGAGGACAGCTGCGAGGTTTACCTGAGAAAATGAGCACTAGGGCTGTCCCGACCGTCATGAGGTAAGCCGCGCGCATCTTGACGTGGTACTGTTGTTCCTCTGGTTTGAGGTGTGCCAGATCCTCCGGCATCTATGACATGACACCGTACAGATTCAAGGGGACACACAGAGAGGCAATGTACGAAGTGCGAAACAACTGCTGTTGATACAACGGTAAAAAGTTCTCGCAGAATCCAAAGCAGCAAATTTTCGACCATTATTTACCAAGAGAATACAGTACGGGCTCACGGGCCTACTTCCACAAGCTGCTGAGCAGAAATTGGTTCGAGTCAGATACGATTCAAGACTTTCTTGTTTCGACAAACATGACATGCATACGAGCCTGCGAGTATTTCTGACCTCTTCGTGCTCTTCGGAATCACCGTCATCCGCCGCTTCGTCGATTGCTGCCGGCGGAGGGCTGCTGAGACGGAGAAACGATCAGAAAAAAATTAGTTGACAGGTGAGAAAGCCAGTTTCAACACATGACGAGTCCTGGCTGGAAACGGGTAGGTCCAGAAAGCCATTCCGGTTCAACGAAAACAAAAGGTAGATGTATCTCGAAACGGCGAAGCCCAAGCCGAAAAAGCTACTCACGAAAAAAGGGCATATGGTACACAGTGAGCGCGTCAGCATAGGCGATCCAAGTGCCCAAGGACCAACGCTCGCACAACAGGAGCAAACAGACAGCAGTATCTGCTTGTAAAGACACGACGAAAGCCGTCCAAACACCATCAAGTTGTGTCCAACAGTACAGTAGGCGTTGCTTTACCTGATGGTACCGGTCGGGCTTTTCTCCAGGACGAACTTTGCCACACCCGTCACGAACTCATCGAAGTCGATTTGATCCGACTGGTCGGTGTCGATCTTTTCGAAGATAGCATTCAGCTCCTTGAGTAGCAAAAGGTGGTTCGTCCAACATGCAACCAGAATTTGACGAGTCAAATGTACTGCTGTAGCACGGCGGCAGTCTCGACATTTTCTGGGGCGGCTACAACGGCATACCTCGACCGGGACAAGGGTACAAAGGCATACATATATAAGCAGCATGACGTGTAGATTCCTGACTCAACCTCCATTGCACGCCGATTGCACTGACCGAGGTTTGGACATGCTCTTGAAGGTCGTGGAAAACCGACCAGAACTCTCCTCTGTCCAGCTGTCCACTGTTGTCGTCGTCGTACTTATCGAAGAAAGGCCTCAGCAGCTTCTCTAGGCGCCGCATAACGATCTCCGGGAGAGCAAGGTTGCCCTGCAGCCGAATCGTGTGTGGGAACAAAAGGTAGAGGACGCGCAAGATTCGTCGTGACTCGGATCCAAAAAGTCGCAGAAGCTAACTTTACCAGTAATGTAGACAGCCGCAAGTGGGGCGATATGAATGCATTCGGAGCAGATTCTCACAATAAACCAAAGACAACCAACTGGGCCAACCTCCTCTTGAGCTTAAGCGCTCCCTCTCGCGCTCACCCCGTCCATGGACTGGTAGCCTTCTTCGGTTGATTGACGGGTCGCAGCGAATCGAAGCTCCGCCTGAAAATGATAGACACAGACATAATTCATACACGCAAGCGTCGGACATACGCCTCAGTCCCACAGCCGACAAGACTCAAAAAGCTGCGGAGACAAAGAAAAAAGGACGCCTTCAGAGGGGTTGTAACGCAACAACCCCTGCCTGCTTCCCCTTGTCAGTACGTCGGGCATAAAACAAGAAAATCACGGCTGACGGACATACGGCAAACACAGAACGGGCCATTCACGACACAAACAATTTGCAGCACCGCTGGTACACCCACAAAGGCCTGACACGAACGAGCGTGACGACTCTAGCCAAGGAAAAAATGACCAACAAGTTGCGAACTGGTATTCTTGCCTGCATGACGCCGAGCAACGAGATCTCGCCATTCATGATCTTCTCGCGCCTGACCTCCTCCATGTAGTCCTCAAAGACCTGATCGCTGTCCGTACGACTCAACTCCCACTGCAGTTTTGACATAGGTGGTGTTTCGTCGGGCAGCGACGTAAGCGGAGTGGACAATATTTGAGCCTTTGCATTCTTCACAACGATTTCAACGCAGATCACAAGCGTTCACAAGCACACGGTCCGGCGCGCGTGGGGAGGGTGTACTCATAGTCGTGCATGCCGTAGTTGTTAGACCATCGGCCTCGCATCCCTTCAAAGTCGGGACAGAGCACGCGGGGTTCTCACCGGACCAGGCTCTCACATCACCAAGCGCGAAGCGCCGTGAGGTTGTCAGCGAGGGGCATGGAGGGTGTGCTGCATTCTGTTGAGGGTATTCGGCATCTTGTGCGTACTTGCTTGCTTACGGATGACAGCTGCGAATGACTCGATATATTTTCTGATGCTTTTAGTTCCAGAGACAGCTATAAGCACTGCGTGGCTGCCTCGAGGGTGCTTCACCATTTTAACACAACGTGGTGCGATCACCCCCTTTACGCGGAGTGAGCGTTCTCGACCCCGCACAACAGAATCTACTCGACCACCATTATGGTTACCGCAAATAAAAACAAAGGCAAAATGTAAAAAGCGGGGGGGGGGGCAGACAAACCTGGTAGAAAAGGTATCCCGCGAAGAGCACCGTGCAAGTGATGAGACCAGCCAGAGCGAACCCAGATTCTCCAGCGGAAACCTCTGCGTCAGTCTCGCCAGACAAGAAAAATGCGGGACCCTGGCAAAAAAACGATAGTTCGCAAGCTGAGGGAGCAGCTGGGACTATGAGTGGCAACCAACAACACTGCTGTTCATAAGGGATGAGAACCGGTCCCTGCAATCGGCAGCCTTCACAACGTTTCAGATCCAAACACAAAAGTTCGAAGCATACTCCTCGTTGGTCAGGAGTGCCGGCTTTTCATGGCCAATTAGACATGACCAAAAGCCGGCAACAAAGGCGTCACAAACAACTGTTCAAAATTCCGTTTCCTCGCATTTTGGTGTCTTGTTCTTACGGAAACAGATACGTGTCCAGGATTCGTCATGAATTAATTCACACTTTCGACACTTTGTATACCTGGGTCGATCATCCCCCCCCCGAAAAAGTAAAAGACGTGGTAGTTGGATAGCTTAGTACAGGTTCATTCGTACTATGCATACCCCTGTGCAAACTGATGTTTTCTAATTGACAAGAACGCGTGAACAATTTGCTGATGAGTTAAATCGGGTGTGCATCCCGAACCATCCTGTATACTGAACTTGAACAAGCACTACGCTTGTGGCAGGTGTGTTTCGAATTCGTAATCGTTCCACCGAAATCCTGGGTAACGCTACCGTAACCTTGAACATGAAAAATATCCGCCCAGGGGAGCTCGAAAGCCGCGGCTTGTCGTGCGGAAAAACAAAAACAGCAGGTTGCGCACAATCGAAAACGTCACAGCATCCAGCAAGAAGCGTGAACGCGAGAGGTGCCCTGTACAAAATCACAGCAGGCCTTCAATGCATGTCATACCCGCATCCACCTAACATGGTCCGCGCGATGCGAGCAGGAGTGGTTTTTCGTGTCTCATGCACCCACGGTTGGGGGATGCCCATTGATTACGGCGTTTGTATAATAGCATGAACATGAAACGTTGGTTCCGATAGGGCAGTGCCGCGATACCCCCGACCATTCCCCGCACCACTGCCCATTTCTCTACTCACGCCCCCAGAACCTGCAAAACGTTGCGAAGCAAAAAACATGTCGGCAACATACTTTAGTCTATGTACCATCAAAAGACTGCTCGACCACATGATGCACTGACCTGGATGATGAAGTAGCTGATGCTGGTGATCATCATCAGCTTGCCTCCCTTGCTAACCTGAGGGCTACCAGTCACACCAGAATTCAGGAGGGTCTCCATGAAAGAGAGTCCGGGCGTAAGCTTGCTCCATCCGACCACACCCGACGGGCGTTTGTAAACGGCCAGGCCAGTTTCTTTGTCGATATCCACACGGCCACCCCACGTTGCGAGGAACCTGCAATGTGATGTGAAGAAAACACACAAAAAGACTGGCTTCAGGGTTTTTTAACGTCGAGCAACTCCTGCAAGGGTGGCATGGTGCGAGCGAGAAACATTGCTCACGAGCGAGAAACTTTGCTCACGGCAGAGAGCTTCAGTTGCGCGTCGCTACAATTCTTGACAAGCAACCGCAGCCGGTCACGCCGCCGCGAGTGGTGTGCGAGGGCGCCGGGTGTAGTTTGGCAACGCACAAGAGGATACAAGCGGGGCCCTCATCAACTTGAATCCCAACGAAGTATTTATTTGAGTGATCTAACCGACTGGTGGGCCAACGCGCAAGCACCACGGTTTTTGCACTGCTGCTGAATCAACTCGCTTGACGCGAATAAAACCAGGTGACATCCACACTGCTAGAATATGGGGTGGGGGGGTGTACTCATAGTCGTGCATGCCGTACTCGTTAGACTATTGACCTCGCATCCCTACAAAGCCGGGACGGAGCACGCTGGGTTCTCACCGGACCAGGCTCTCACACAACCAAGCGCGAAGCGCCGTGAGGTATTCGGCGAGTCGCATGAAGGGTGAGATGCATCCTGCTAAGGGTGTTCAGCATCTTGTGCTTACTTCCTAGCAACGGATGACAGCTGCGTATGACTTAATTTATTTTCTGGTGCTTTCACTTCCAGAGACAGTTATAAGCACTGCTGTGTAACTGCCTGAGGATGCTTTACCATTTTAACACCACGTGGTGCGATCATCCCCCTTGCGCGGAGTGAGGGTTCTCCACCCCGCACAACATGATCTACTCGACCACCATTATGGTTGCCGCAAAAAAAAAAAAAAGAGGTAAAAAAAAACGGTACCCTGGTTGCCGAGTTCACGAAGTGAATTAGCTTGTTTTACAATGTCGTTGCCAAGTGACGAAAACCCAATCCCGATGGCAAACACCGGGGGGGGCGGCTTGTTTTACAACGTCGTTGCCAAGCGACGAAAACCCGAACCCCGATGGCAAACACCGGGGGGGGGGCAAGGTGGGGGGGTGGGGTGTACTCATAGTCGTGCATGCCGTAGTCGTTAGACCATTGACCTCGCATCCCTACAAAGCCGGGACGGAGCACGCCGGGTTCTCACCGGACCAGGCTCTCACATCACCAAGCGCGAAGCGCCGTGAGGTATTCGGCGAGTCGCATGAAGGGTGAGTTGCATCCCGCTAAGGGTATTCGGCATCTTGTGCTTACTTCCTTGCGTACGGATGACAGCTGCGTATGACTTCATTTATTTTCTGGTGCTTTCACTTCCAGAGACAGTTGTTGGGGGGTGGGGGGGGGGCTGATAGCCCATGTTTGTTTGATGCTACGAGGTAGGGAACTACTACAGTGACAAATGTCGAGAGGGAAACCGAGAATAGGACCACGGCATGGACGCAAGGCCTACTACAGCAATAATGAGCCGCGGAGAGCGCGAAGGGCGACCGTTCTTTCCTCTCCGTCCCAGGAGGGAAAAAAAAGGCTCTAAATATCGGCCTGTTCCAGTCGCGATGCAGGGGCCCAAACCTTGCATTTCCGGGAAGCCTAGATAACCCACTGGGACCAGAACGATATCTATAGATCACCGATTTACGATCTGTTGGCTTCTGAGGAGGGAGAAGAATAGGGCAATCTTCGTCACACCGGTTTGGTCGTGCTTCGGCGAGAGATGGCCGTGACTCATAGATATTTGTGCCAAAATTCGTAGGAGATACCTCACCCCATGGCCTGGAGTTGCGGGATTATAAAAGCGGAGATCTCAAGCGCGCGCGATTCAAATTTGGGAAGAAACAGAGGTAGCATACCGCTGATGTCTAGCACACCCTCAACATCACACCCACCCGCCGTGGTCTAATCCCTTCTTTAGGGAAAAGCACAGAAGCAAACAGTAGACCTGGTTCCCGCTCTCTGGCTAAACAACAGGGAAAGTCTTGGCGGTTCTATTTGACGTCGGAAAAATCGATGAGTGACCAAAGGATAGATTGAGGTCTTCTTGCCCACAGCAGCAACAGGAACAGCGGAGAGCGAAGTTGAGGCGATTGGCGTTGTTGCCGCAATCGCCATGTGGGACTCAGAACGATGTAGGGATGACGTCTTTCGCTGGACAACAATAGGGCGGGGGATAAGGGAAGCAAACAAACGACGCCGCCTGCAGCAAGCGAAACAGAAGAGACACTGAACTGTTGAACAAACAGTACATGCGAGAGAACGCGAGCTGGCTCTGATGAAACTGTGCTCCTGCCAGTTCCACCTGCTTTCCACACCGTGCTGCCCGAGGGTTCTATCTACAGTAGTGTATTCTAATCCTGTCCATTGTTCATTTGTTGCCGGCGGCAGTGCTGTTAGGTGCCGATCGTTTGGCGGTACTGCCGTACCATCGCGTGTGTCACGGCACGTGTGTGTGTTCCTCCGCCGTTCGTTGGTGTAGCATTTGATACAAGGGGGGAGCGGATGCACAATCTTGAAGATCCACTCAATACCTTCCGGGTACGTATGCATCACGTGCGGAGGAAGTCCCCATCACACTAAGCATCGCAGATACAGACGACCGCAGGCACTGAGCCGACCCCACGGCTCATGCTCCTCCCTATATATGTAGTATCGTTGTTTTCCTCGTTCTGTCGCCGGAACGTGTCCTTCTAGGGTCGCATAGGTGAAGCGTTTGAGCATATATCTACTTGTATTTGATCATTGATCATTTGGTCGTATGGCAATAGTGCAAGGTCTCCTCACAATGTATCGAAGACAGGGATAGGTATACGAGTCATTCAACCGCCGTATCCATCATCTGCGGTGGGGGGTGTACTCATAGCCGTGCATGCCGTAGTCGTTAGACCATTGACCTCGAATTCCTACAAAGCCGGGGCAGAGCACGCCGGGTTCTCACCGGACCAGGCTCTCACATCATCAAGCGCGAAGCACCGTGAGGTATTCGGCGAGTTGCATGGAGGGTGCGCTGCATCCTGCTAAGGGCGTTCGGCATCTTGTGCGCACTTCCTTGCAACGGATGACAGCTGCGAATGACGTAATTAGTTTTCTGGTAGCACTGTGTAACTGCCTCGAGGGTGCTTGACCATTATAACACAACGTGGTGCGATCAATCCCCTTTGCGTGGAGGGAGGGTTCTCGACCCCGCACAACATTATCTACTCGCCACATTATGGTTGCCGCGAAAAAAACAAGGAAGAAAAAAAAGCGGCAACCTAGTTGTCGAGCTCACCAACCGATCGGCTTGTCTTACAACGTCTTTGCCAAGCGACGAAAGCCCAACCCCGATGGCAGGGGGGGGAAGGGGGGGGGTGCAACATCTGCTGTGATCGTGTGACTAGAAGCTGAAGCTGACATCTGAACTACAAGTGACACGTACTCCAGTAAATAACAAGACTGCGACTTGTTGGGCCGACTGCCCTCGCCACAACGAGCGTGCTACACCTATTTGTTTTTCATCACTGGTCGCCCCGGTGGTCTAGTGGTATCCTCGCTGGTCGCAGAGGTCGTGAGTCCGAATCCCCACGGTATGAAAAAATTACAAAATTTGCGGGTGAAAGCGAAATATAGCTGAAAAGGTCTCGAGAGTACCAAACTTCGACGTTAGCACCGTTGACGAGGGAAAGGGACGGCTAGACCCTTGTCGCGATAAAAATTAAATTCAGCACGCACCGCAGGAGGAAGGTGGGGCACGAAAATAAATAAAAAGAAGAAAACGCCCTGGTGTTTAACCCCTCCTGTGTGACCCTGAATGGTTGTAGTGAGTGTAGTACACGTCTCACCAAGAAAATGGGGAGACCGTCGCCATAATAAATGGTACGAAAACACAAAACACATAGCATACGTGCCGGGTAGACAGGAGCTCCAATCCGTGTTACGGGCAAGGGAAAAATGACGTCCAGAGCAATGACAGTCTATGTGTGAATGCATAAATGACTAAATGACCAGTTTCCATCAATATGCACATGTAGCATACATGTACGATCCGAGTGCTCGTTGGTTCCATTAAATAATTGTATGCATACAGAGCACAAGAGTTGTGTTGCGTGCCGTGCTGCTGCATCGTTGCTGGTTGGTTTCCATCCATGGATCGAGAAACAATGTGTTCAAACTAAACAAACGCACACTTTGATTTAAACTAAATAATTCCGCACTGGTTGGAATACTGCTGTCCATGGATCGCAGTATCGCGGTATTCTTCAGCGGAGCAACCACCCGTAACGAAAAGGCACGGCACGGAAGAACTATAGCCAGCTTGTATGCACAGCAGTGCACAAGTCAGATTATCAACGGGATAGTTCTCACCAAGGTATGGTTAACAGCATGATGGTCGATCCTGCAAGAGCACCGACACCGACAGAAAGTTCTTCCTGCGCGTCATCACCCATCCCCGAGAACAGAACGATAGCGCCGTCAGGGACTGCGCCCAGCACCGGAAGCACGACAGAACCCACGATGCCAGCCAACGACGGAACCAGCAGCAGGAGCTCCGACCCATCCGAGATCATGTTGGATGCGCTAGAAACGGGGGTGAACCCAGCAAACACAACAGCAAACCGTGCGGAGCATACACACATCAGTCCCGTGTTCTGTTACACAAATGTTGAGTTACTCCGAACTACACCATCAACACATCTCTAAAGAGCGGCACGGTTTTCAACCCGAACAGCTGTAATCATCCAACTAGACTCCGTCGTCTGTATGCATGTGCAGATGAACGCGAACTAAAAGTTCATGATGCTACGTACAAAGACTGCACACACTCACCTGAATAGGATGTACCCATATACAAGCATCAGGAAACACACTTGGACGAAACCTTGCCAATCAGGTGGCAAGGTGTCCGGGTCGATGAATAACGACATCTCGGGGCAACTCCCTCAGATCAATCAGATTGGCAACTGCTGAGGAAAGCGAGAGGACACAAAAAGCGGGGGAAAGAGGCGTTGGTTTCATCGACCCCTCTGGAGAACATAAGCACAAACGGCAGTGCAGAAATACGCCAGAGTTCGGTACCATGCGTACAATCTATTAGAGCCCAGCACGGGCGCACACCAGAACAGCAGTTCAAATATGAGATGCAATTAGCCGTTCATCCCGTTGCTCGGTGCGCCAGTATTATCCACCACCTCTCTCTGCTGCGTGATGGGCGTGATGTCAACAACCTCCATTTATTTGTCGTATACGTCCCCATGGAAACCGAAAAGAGTATCGAGTACCATTCAAAGAACTGTGGTCACCTCAACACACGTCCGTCGTACATATGCGTTCCTCGCGTCCCAACTTACAGAGAAGCGGATACGAAGACAACTGCACCCAATGGACATCGAGCGGGACATCTTCGCAGGGACGGTCATGAGGTTTGCATCCTCTCACCAGTAGAACTTTTACCAACACAACAAATTTGCGCGAGGGTCTCCAAGGAGTGAACAAACATATTGCATGCCAACAGCTCCCTGCACCAGCACCTCACCAGCACTGGAACCCCTCACGATATGTGTTGGTTGTGGGCAGGAGCACACTCTAACGGCGTTGTGCAATCGCACGCCCAACCTCAGGTCAAAATGCAACGGAACATCCAGGGTCACAGCAAGTCACACACAGGAAAAGCTGTGTGCTCTGCAAAATATAGGGATGGGGAGGGGGGGGGGGGGGCTGATTCATGAAGACTTGTGTCGTGACAAGTTGGTCGTGATGTCGTGATCATGTTGCAAGCAGCAGCAGTCAGCGTACAAACCTCACGGTAACGTGAGCATATCACGCAAGAGATAAAGGCCCGCGGCGAAAGAACTACCTCCCTTCAGCCTGTGTTGCTATCTACAGTATGCCTGTATCAACGTATCAACCATCGATCAACACACATGAAACCAACCGTATCCAGCAGATAGACTATATATTTGTTGCATTTGAGCGTATTGTATGAAGGATGCATACCTGTGTAGTTGTTGTCGAGTGGGGGGGGGGGACACGGAGGGAACCCGGGTGCTATCTGCAGCTATTTATCACAGGCAACAGCTCGGGTGCATTTAGTATCCCTGCTTAACATACCTTAGACAAACCAACCATCCAACTAACTGTAGTTGTAGACAAACACGTAGCAGCAGCACCTGCCCTTGGCGCAACCATGGCGGCGAAGCCGGGCAACTGCAATTTCAAATCATCTAGAGGTCTCTTACATAGATGATACTTTTGGCCAGAGAGGGTGGGTGGGTTCATTTTTGGAGAACGGAACGCGTTTCGACGTTCGTTCTGTGTCTGGGCCCATGATGAATGTTTCGTGTATATGCTCAACGAACGATGAACGAGGCAGGATTTAGGAGATATCAACCCCAGTTGCAAGAAGATCAAACAATCATCGGTCATGACGGGACCCTACAAATACACAACGGGGGCGGCGGACTTGGACCCCTGACAGCTTAGTCTACATACATCCACCCACACACATATAATTTCATAGTTTCATCATTTCCAGATCGAATATCGTACCGAAGTACCACAAACAATGACTGGTCTCAGCTGCTGCTTGCTCCCTTGATTGTGTCATACATGCATACCTTCGGTTCGATCCTAGCAACACGTGTCATTTCCTTCCACCATGCTATGCTATAGTTTCACTCATTTTCACAATCCGAGAGTCGCTTGTTTACTCAAAACTTCGATCGCATATCTGATATGATACACTCGCGATGGCGTGCTTGGGTACGTACGGATTGGGGCAGCAGCGCTCCGGGATTTCGTTCTCCGGACAGGACGCTTGCTGGAAAAGGCTGAGCTTTGCCGCCTCTCTTTTCGAACCAATGACACGCAGCATGTAGGTTAAGCGGCAGACAGCAACAAAACATCGTCCAGATCCTGTCCAGGGTGTACCCCTCCGAACACAATCATCTCTCCCTCCAAACCAACAGCGCACGCCGCGTGAGCGAAACGACCGGCTGTTGTTGGAGAAATTCTTGGTTTCGTCCACTCTCCACATCCCACATCGTAAAGATGAAGATCGTCGGCCACGGTTGTGCCCCTGTTTAAAACAGGCAAGTGGGCGGATGTCAGCGGTACTACTGTATGTAGTAGTGTACTCTTGGTGCAATCTAGCGCAACCAAATGGTAGATCGATTGAGTACACCAAAAGTGCTCTCAGGTTCTTAATAGTAATCAACATGGGTCGAGTTCGTATTCTTCGCACGTTCTAATCGTATTTCCAATCCCTATTTCAAGAGGAAGCGTGTTATGCCCTGCCGACGACGCCAGTGTAATAAGATTTGACCCCTTCCTTCAGAATCAATCACCCTTTTGCTGTGTGGAACTCTCTTGTCCGACCACAGGTGCAGGTTGTTGCTGCTTTCCGTTGTTCTCTTTCTCTTGATTAACGCTTTCCCAAGCCAACTCACAAGATCCCAAGCACACACGACCACCGGATCGTACGCACACTGAACAGAAGGGCACATGCCTCAGCATAAAGCCCTAATCTAGCATGACGTCGCGTCATAGCATCTGACGACGCCAAATAACCATGGTCAACAACGATCACATGTTTACCTCCAAATACCATTACAGAAGCCCGCAGATAAGATGCAAAATGTTGGGTCGAGGTCCATGTGCTCATTTCACTGAACCGCTCTGAACAAGCGACCAAGCAGGATGTAGTGTGGGGTCCACCGTGAAGCTGCGTTTCAGACTGGTACAACACATTCGTTTACTTTCGTGCCAATTTCGGCCAACTGTGTTTCCCACAGAATGTTTACCGACTATGGGGGTGATCTGCATCCAATCTGTGTGATCGTAAAGTAGTCACTTACCCATCCCATCCCCCGTAGATGGCCATGATCCCTGCGGCTTGTACGAAACAAGCTGAATGGGCGCACCGGGCAACAGGAGCATCTTTTAATCGCTTCCATGTCCAGGTATCTGTAAGAGTTATTGCAGGCAGAGGGAAAAACTTCGCGTCAAGAACGGAATTTGTGTGACGCATTTATTGGACATATCCTAGAGACGTGACACACAGAAACATGAATATATGGATAGTCTCTCGCGCGCTGATACTGATGTTAAATTCCCTTGATCGAACTACTATGCGTAATGGCTGAGGCCGGGTATTAACGATACTCGCAAAATGAAAAAACCTACACCCAGAGAGATGAGTGAGTCGAAGGATCGATACAATACCTCTGAACGACGACATTTCATTTTCAGCATTGTCTTTAATCCAAACCAATCAAAGTCGCACAAGGATTGCAAGGGCCGCTCCGTTCGATCGGATCCCGCGGGGCTGCTCAAATTGGATGCATGCACTGCTCAAAGTGAGACTATCGATACCCCCTCTACCGAAACCGCGGATGTTCGTGGCATCATAGCCAGAAAAGACACAATGCTCGTCGGCAAGCCCAAAACCGGGTCGGCTCACGCGGCTCTTCGAGAGAAAACGCCGATCGCCACAACTGCGAACGAGGCCGATGATCACAGCAGAGCTGAACCGTTCATTTGCGCGTTCTCGTGCGAGAGAGGATAGTTGCAATATTTTCCCCGATATACACTACATCCTACAACATCAAACCTTGGGCATGAAAAACGGACTGTAAAGCTACCAATTGTTACAATACGGCTGTTGCTTCCTCCTTCAAAACGTTATGGGCGGAAAATCAAACCCATATGGAATCAACAGTACCGACATTAACCAACTACTCTGTGACGTTGACTTCTTCCAGTCACTCCATTGTAATTTTTTCGACACATTTGGCGCCCTACGGTGCTACATCTTTGCCAAAAAGGCCATGGCACCCACAACGGCACACCAACCCCCAAGGCACCTCGTCATTTGTTCGGCAAGATGTTCGTCAACATGTGAACTGGAGCGTACAAAACTACACGTAAGAAAATGCTTCCCGCTGGCGCTCCCCCTCGCGCTAGGTTTGTTTTAACTTCACTCCCGAACCATTCTTCGTACAAACATGGTCTGCCGATTTCTCTCAGTTTCAGGGAAAAGTGACAATTGATTTTGGTACTTTGACGACTGAATTTTCATTTGTTCGAACGTCGTTAACACCTGGCCTGGCACGTAGTTCTCTTATCCGAAAAAATATGGCTTATTCGTACCTGTTCTGAGCGCAAACAGGTCACGAAGCACACCCCCAGCTGAACGTCCGCCCATGAGCAATATTGTAGTCGCCCGTTCACCCGTCGTCCCCTCGGAGTTATAAGCACAGGTCGAGTGCATCTCGCGTGCGGCTGGTACTCCTCCAACGCCTTCCGAACAACGTCTTTCACCAGTCCCTGATTCGAACGGCTGGCAGAACACTCTCCGACAGGCCAAGTTTGCACGATTGGACAAGTCGATGGTGAAAACGTCGTCTGTTTGTCCCTCCGGGGAAGCCCCTGCGATGACTATCATGGTTTCCCCATCGAGTACTGCAGTGTGCGCATTGCGAGGAGGGATGTCCACGCAGGGAAGGGGCACCCACTCCATGCCCTCCGTAGATCCTGCACACCAATGAATCCCAGTTGGGTGACGCGAGGGGTCATGTTTTGGTAGACCAAGCTACGGTTCACTGCCGAGGTCCTGCACAGTTGGACGTTAGAGCAAAATATACCTCAAAAGACGCTGTGCGCGAGGAGAATGAATCTTAACGGCACGGCAGCACGTTATGGAACCAGCGCACTGATACTATGATGACAGAACCGCGGACAAGATCACGCCCACCTACCCACCGGGTCGGAGCTCAAACAGGTCGTTGAAAGTCACACCATCCTGTCCATTCATACCGCCGTAGACCACCAAAGACTCTCCCAGTGCGACCGCCGAATGACCATTCCGCGGGGAAGGTGGCGCACCACTGACAGGGGTCTGCTTGCAGCGGAGTGTCGCGGTCCTTTCGGGTGAGAATAGCGACAGGTTAATGTTCTTAACGCGTATCTAACGGAACGCACCTCTTCATGCGACACAAGGGAAGAAAGGTCATATTCTGCGTACCAATTGCCATGAACGAACAGACACAATTGGCAAATGTGCCGACATGCATATGATGAAGGATGAGAGGCGGCACACTGCTGTGTTCATCACCGCGTTTGGCACTGCAAATTAACACGTACCTTCTCCCATTTCCCTATTGCCGCGTCAAAGCAGTGGATGTCGGAAAAATGCTGCTGACGTTCGTCCGCCCCTCCAAACAGGACGAACTTTGACCCAACCTGTGCGCCACACGACACATGAGGTATCGTCTGTACATGATGCATACTCCTGCATAGAAGGTTGAAACAGGTCGCGAAATTTCTCGGTGCAGATCGAACGCTGACGGCCGGACTCGAGGCCCTGCCCGCCAACAAGGCGGCTGAAAGATTAACAATGCACGCAACAGTTTCACTGCATCCTGCGTTCGCTTCCTGATGCTGTGGGCACAACACGAACAGGCACGAGATACAATCGATTACCTCGAAGCCTGTGTCACAGACAGACGCATGGATATTTGCTCAACCGGAGGAGAGGATTGGCGGGAATAAAGCAAAGCTGGTTATCATAGCACTGCTGTTGCGGAAGTGGCTGTTAGCTTGGTCGCGAGAAACTGCAATGCAGAAATGATGTAGCACGTTCTACTTTCTTCGGTCAACCGCGGAAACACGGAAACACGGCGGTCCTGTTTTCATCCATGCTCTTCAAACCACCCAAATGGATGTCTCGTCCGCAAAAATCACATGCGAATGTATCAGAAAACACGAGCTAGCGTTCTTGGTGGTGATATCTGCCCACACCTCTGTTTGTCTACTACGTTACATCCTTTGTGGCATGTAGGCCTCGCGGTTATAAGCTTGTTTCGGTTTGTATCTGGCGTAAAACCTCGTTGGTTGCAGCACAGCTTGTGGCTACACCCCAACCTCTACGAGTAAGGGGATAACTAGTGTAGCTCTGACCTTCGTCCACGAGCACCCCCCTCTGGGAGATGGCTGCTGCGTCGAAGAGCTTGCCGCTATCGTTTTGCAAACCCAAGTTTCACCACGTGATGACCGGTCTCCGATGCCGCCTACAGGTGGATGCGCCACCGCGCCGGTGCTGGTAACACTCGCTGGCTTCCCTACCTGGATCGGTCAAGATCCAACAAAAAGCAGTTCATGCTCGGAGCGTCATGTTTCATAATAACTGATCCGACCAGATGCAACCAAACCTGCCTTCTCTCACCGCGCACTCCATTTGGTCTCTGTGTATCTTCGCGGGGGCTTTCGTTCTGCCACGCCGGTCTGGAGTGTGAGTTGATTGCCTGGGCGTGGGTTGTCGCAAAGCTGGGAAAACAAATAAAAACCACGTGAGATGAGAATCCGGAGCACAACTAGTCTACAATGGTAGCCAAGTTACGTAGTTTTCGGGGTCGGGTCATATCGTGCGACACAGCCAGGGAATGAACTAGCAGGGAGGTATGTACAGATTGCGACGAGAGGAGCTACAGTGGTTGGTCGGGGCTGAGGCGTGCGGATGGACGTTTGAGGAACACCCTCGCCAACGGTGCGCACTCTTTGAAGTGTATGTTTTCTCTCACAACTGGTCAGGCTGTTGTCCAGTCGACACAACAGACGTACAATTGTACAGTAGTACAGCAGTAGTGCGAATCATGGTGCACCGCAGGTAGGGACGAATGCATACCACCCGGCCCCATATAACTAACACTAGACACATTATAATCACATGGTCACATGAGCACCTCCCTTGCTGCAAAGTTTCTGACCTTTCATTTCCGCAGAAGTGTAGCTGCTCAAGTGCTCAACTTTCGCTGCACACTGCAAGTAAGTGTCCTTACAGCAGCTCCGTACGCACATGGACAGCAGTAGTAGTGAAATAAACTATGCGGGGGTACACAGACAATCATGGTTTATAAGTCACCCCTCATGCCGCATTGCCTCAGAATACACTCCTTAAGAGTTGCACCCCCCCCCTACTTTGTTGTCCTCCGCTTGCGACCCAGTACTGCTGGCGCTGGTGTACGGTAACGTTGAAAGATCAAGATACCACCAGCGCCACTACACTGTCTGTAAGTACATATGTTTTACAGCCAGTACGGGAGAGATACGCTTTTAGTCTATGCGGCCTGTTGTCACGTCGTTGTCCGGCATATAGTCTATCCACCAAAAATTGACGACGAGAGATTGTTGGTGATGCTCCAAGCTGAGCTCTTGGGTATATGTCAGTACGTCTTAGTTGTATCTGCATCAGATCCTGTACTGCTGTAGGCACACACCTTCGATTGTTGTTGTGTATCCAACGTAGCAGCTGAACGGATATCAAGAGCGATCACGGCAGGTTCGCTTTCGACAGTCACAGAAGGTTCGCACACCACATCGCCCAGCTCGTCGTTGTCTTCTACGGGGGGTATTTCCTCGATATACCATTGTTGGCCCTCCAGGGCTGACATGACCACCTGCTGTCTCGTCCCTGCTTTCCGTCACAGGAACTGGTCGCTGTGTACACGACATGATGAGTGGAATTTGGTGGAATCGGTTGGGGATATACAAAATGAAATCACGGCTCCCCCCCCAACCCCCCCACCATGCCCATGCGACTCAAAAAAAGGTTGACTGCTGTTTATGTGCCTTGATGTGCCAGTGCGTGCTTTCGTCCCATCTACCACTACAGCTGTATGATGTGTATGTAGACGTATGTAATGTTTGGACACCAGTATTTAGTCTACCTACCTTTCGGTATGAATGTTTGATGCAACAGCCCGCGGGTTACAAGTACAACAACACAGGAAGGTGCCTATACCTCGCTCTTTTTCTCGGAGTTTTTTCGGTTGTTTTCACGTGGTCGTCGTCGTCGTCGTCTATACAGCAGTATGTAGGCTTTGCCTTCAATTTTTCACGCGACAAGAGGGAGTTCGGCAGACAGATCCTGACGTCATGTTGCGCGCCCCCAGCACCACGAGGGGTATCACGCAGAAAACCGCATCCTCCTCTTTCACCATCCATTCCCAGAGACTCCACATATGATTACAACTTCAAGCAAGTGTTTTAATAGTACTTCAATCCTAACGCCCCCATCATCGTCATCTGTGTCTTCTGACAGCAAGGCGAACAACAACACGACTGCTGCTTGCTGTCATACGGACAGTTACTGTCCGTTCGCCCCACACTTCAATACCAACCATTAAGTCGCTGACTGGCAGAATCATTTGTCTCTCCTGTGACTTTGTTGATAGACTTGCATATTATGTTGACGTTCATCTGTGTGATTCTCAAGTGCCGCTGGCGTTGGTTCGTGCGATTTATTTTTAGAGAGCCTTGACGATCCGATAATTTGTCGTGATCACCAGTAGTCTACACTTGAAGCTCCACTTTCCGAGGAGGGTGACTCCTGTGGCCAGCGCTGCTAAATCCATCCAATCTGTACTTCGCTTCATCAATCGTCACCCAAATCCTGCACAATGTTCCAGAGGGTCTCAGACAAGTCTTTCCGTCACCCGATTCTCTCGCCGAATATCCAGGGTCTCACTAGAAAAGCCACGCTCAAGTGTCCAGGTCTCGAACCCCACGATTGACTTTTGCAGAAGCCGATATATCAGGAGGGTCTCAGACAAGTCTTTCCGTCACCCGATTCTCTCGCCGAGCATCCAGGGTCTCACTAAAAAAGCCTCAAGTGTCCAGGTCTCGAACCCCACGATTACCTTTTGCAGAAGCCGATACATCAAGTCGCTGACTAGTCCAATTGTTTGATTTGGGCTTCTTTAAAAGTTGTATGCATACAATACTTCAGCAAAGGCAATATCACATATGTACTCATTCTTGAACTAACGGAGGTGTTCGGACACCCTTTTTTCTATTGGCCAATATATACGTATGTGTGAGCTCACAAGAATGTCACCTTTTGTACATTTTCTCTAGTAGTCCAACCGCACGTGTTGGCTTTCGCTGACTGCTACTAGCACTACAGGTGGGAGCACACTGAAATGGGGAGCGGCAGGCAGAGCCACAACAAATCTACAAAGAGCCTCTCCCCCGCACCACCCCTAATTCGCTGCACATGAAGCTGGCTCGCGCACTCTTGGCCAAGCTCCCACCACGGACGGATGCATACGCACCGGACGACACACAAAAACCAGGGAGCGCGTAGTATCTGGTTCGCCCGACGGGGTACAATTGAAAAACTCAAACTAGGTCAAAGTCTCCCTTGATTTGCAGATATCTGTCCACGTCTTTCCCACTCATTCCCTTCGTCTTCACCATCCAGCTCTTGATGCACCACGAATTGTCTGTCCAGCGATTGACTCCGTCCTTGCATACCTACCGACGATGATTCGGGCATAACATTTTAGTAGCGTGCGACTCTCCAAAGACGCATGGGTGGATGGGTGAAACAACAAGCTAGGCGGACATGAGTGTTGTCACGGACGCAGGGCTTCGAACTCGAAGATAGTCAAGAAACACGGTGTCAGAGAAGGGAAGGTGCAACCACACGCGCGCGCTCGGGCCACACATGAGCCAGGTGAGTCTTCGGCGGGTTTGAATGTTGTCATTTACCGAGAGAAAAGCGCTGAATTGAGGCGAGTTTGTCGTAGTGGTGGTCGTGTCGGATTGTGTAATAAATACCAAGTACTATTTCTGTCTTGGTTACAAACAAAATCTACTGTGATATCCATCCAGTGCCTCCGCGTGCTCCTCCTTTATGCTAAGTCAATGCAGAACAGTTCCACAGTTTCGTTGCAACAGGCTCTACTGCATGCAGTGTGGCATCCGTAGAACAAAAAAAATTAAGTCCGGGTAAATTCGACACCGAGGAGAGGGAGGCACCGACAGCCAGTATTTCCCGACGGAGAGAGCGTTTGTTCCGGGAAGGCGCTACAAGTATACCATGCCAAAACGACATACATATGGGTACGCCGCGCGGCGTAAACTATGTCCCGTGAACCTGATTCAACGAAACTGCTCACCTGTGTCAGACGGGCGACCTTCTCCAGCTCTGCAGGGTCATTTTCCTTGAGTGATTCATACTCCTTCTCTAGCTCCTGTAATCTGTACCAAAAAACAAACATGCAGTGAGCGACAAGGTTCAAACATCCGGCGAGCGGCAGGATCGGCAGAAAATATCAGTTGTACGCACTTACCGGAACTGCCCAGGCGGGCACACATGGAATACTAATTGAATTACTACAGATTAAATTACTACAACCACCGCAAGAACGCAAGCATAGACATGGCTACCTAGAGTAAAAATATCTGACACTGGGGGAAAACATGTACCACGTACACGCCAATGGTCTCTGACAGCATAACCGGTTGTGGTACTACGAGGTTGTACACAAACTCACAATCAAGCGGCCCTCAACCTCAACGCACAGCTGGTTGATCGTGCAGTTGCGGGGGTATTGCTTGCCAACCTCACCGTAGGCCGTTCTCCTGCAAACGTCCAAGCTTCTCTCTTCGGCTTGCTGTGTCCGCACGACCTTCTTCAAGCTCCGAAAACTTGCGCTTGTTGGCTGCTGTGTTGTCTTCGGCCTTACACAAAAGCATGGCAGTGTATTGTAGCGAATTGAAAAGAAGGGTGCGGTGTGCAATTGATGATTCCAACTAGGTACCGCCACCTACACATCGTCAGTAGAATGAACCATGCGATAACTGGTCAGCGTCGGGCGACAGAAACCGACCTGCCGATTGCACGTACCAGTACAACGGACCGTGGAGTACACGAGCACATCGGACGACTCAAGCAACCAATATGGACCACGTAGATGTACACGTAGCGTATTCCTTGCACCTTGAAAGTCTCCCAAATGTAGTGGTATGCGCAAGATCCTCGTAGAGCAATATGGGGCATCCGGCCAGGAGCGGTACATACCTTGGCGATGCTTTGCTCAAGGTTGTCGACTACATTTTGTTTGGTGACCGCCACTTTGGAAGGAAAGGACCAAAAGAAGTTCGAAGCGCCGATCTTGTCCATATCCACGAGGCCATCGTCCACTAGAGATTGGTTCACGTCCTGTGGCGGGTGATGTTGGGAGAAGGACAAAAAAGACGATATGCGTGAGTCGTTCCATCGATAAGCTTGCGCGTCATCGGATAGTTCGGAGTCATCGGACAAGGGCGAGACAACAACGCAGGGAACAACACTGTTCTTTGCGATTTCCGCAAATGTCCCCGAGTCACACATACACGTGTGGGGTGCCTCCGGAAAACCCCACCTTGAGTGTGAGATTGAGTGCTACTGCGATGTGCGTGAAAGTTCGTGAGCTGCGACTATTTGTCGCAGTGCTTCAATGTCGAGGTCGTCGTCATCGGGGCTGTTGTCGATGCTTCTGCGCCGCTGCTTTGACATACGTACCTTGACTGTGTTGATCGTCACCCCTTGCTTCGATGCTGCTTTCTCGATTTCCTTGAGGCTGTAGATGGCCTTGGTAGAGTGGTAAATGTCGAGTACCTTGTCCCGTTTCTCCTCCACAGAGAGTCCCCTCTTTACCATTGTCTTGTCCAAAAGTGTGCAATCCTGTCCTCGTTTCAACGTTCGGGGCAAAAAAAAAAACACCCGAGAGGCAAGCATTGAGAACATATTCTGAATTACGGAAACATGAAAGCATCAAATCAGCGTGGGAGCAGGTCCACAGATCCAACGTACCGATGCATAAACTGCAAACATATGTATCGAGTGCTTTGGACAAGAAGTGTGAATACCTCTCTGGCCCTGTGTCCTGCCGACGACGCCAAGTGTAGTGGTATGCACGCGTGGTGCTATCTGGGAAGCCCGTGTAGAAGTTACAGCAGCAGTAGCTGATGCCTTGGGTAGCGATAGGTCTGACATCGAGGGGGCCAGGATCCTCTGCTCAAGCAGGGGCTACTGAGATCCTGTCCCCTGTTTTATCCTTCCGCTGGGAGTTACATCTCCCCGCGTCTTCTAGAAGGAACCATTATCTTCTATATTCTGCCTAGACATGTAATCCTATGCATGAACACTACTGCTGTAAAATGTTGATGTTACCATCATCCATCAAGAAGCGGTATTATTATCGAGCTGGAGTAAGCGATAAAGTCAAGTCGATCGGTCGTCGTGTGTGGTGCTGTGCGGGTGAAGGCGAAAAACACAAGCGCAAATTCGTTACGAACAAGCGGGATTACCTTTTTTGGTTTCGCTGAAAACATGTTCCCCGTAATACGCATACAACACCGTAGAAACGAACCTGAATGAAAATAATTGTGGTTCTTCGATTTTCAAACTTGAATTTTAAAATTGAATCTGACACTGCCGATACTCCTCAATCGAACGTGGTGAATCCCTGAGTACACATGCCTGGCGCTGTCTAGAGATTGCTTAGTTGTGACATAAGATGGTGCTTCTGTCTGTCGTAACAGCAGGTATTTTAGTTGTAGCATAAGTCTGTCAGGACAACAGTTTCCTCCTTCGAAGTACTGCTGTACATGTACCATTTCCATACTGCTGTGTTTATACAAACTTTTCTTTCATCCAAAAGCAAACACACGCCCACCTTATCCCGATATGTGCTTCAATTCCACCGGTATAAGTGATGGAAGTGCAGATAGAGGAAGCGGAGGCAGAGAGAGAAACCACCGAGCACCTCCAGAAGTAGTAGGAGGCCCAAAGAGAGACAGGCCGCACGACAGAAACTACGGCCCGCTCTTTGCCCTGCTCCAGCTGCTGCTTCCGTATCCACAGATACCAACAGAGAATACCTCTGGGTGATCGTGCGTACTATAGTGCTGCTGCAGTCGATGGCTTTGTGAGTGCCAATGGTGCAGCCGATGGTGATTGCCATGTATTGTGTTGGAGTGCATGCAGCACCACGACCAGGCCGGCGCGCGGAACAAGCGAGGAGCCACGCGGATTCAACCCGGGGGGGGGGGGGGACTCCGTGGTAGCACCACCAACACATTATTGAGTGCTGAGTGGCCGTCTTTGTCCCATGCTAAATACATCGCCCCTCATTTGTGTTTGATCGCATCGAAGAGTCATAGTAGGACAACATACGCCAGCGGGAGGATCGCATGTGGTGTGCACGGGACTGAACGTAGACAGACCCACACGGCCGGGTGTTTTTGTGTTTTGTGGGGGTGTCACTTCTGGGCGGTGGGCATGAGTGTACTTGCTCTTGTAGGAACCTCTTTATTGCCACGGGCAGCGTAGTTCGGTGATTTTAGGCCGGCCGGCGTCGGATGGATGTAAGCCTTCGGTTGGTATTTGCCGTCAGGCCCTTCTTTGCTGTGGCATCGGATGGCGCAGCCGTTCCTCAACTTTCTGCAAGTCGCTCATTTGACAGAACGACAGGTATAGCTGTCACCACCTGTCTGCATGGTTTGTTGGCCGTGTGCCCCGAGTGCGCCAGGCCGGGGGGGTCGCATGTACAGAAGTTCTACAACTTCGAAATGCATGTTTTTCGGGAGCTGGGCGTGTTTTGTTTCATGGGAGAGGGAAAGCCAGAGGCGCAGGCTGCCCACGGCGCTGCGGGGTGCGGTAAACACGTAAACGTTGTACACGGTGCAGCGTACAACAGGGCTGCGTTTCTTGCTTTTGGGTAAGGGGTTGACTGATGTTTGGAATGCAGGATTATATGGATTCCAGCCACAGTAATGACCAACAGGAACACTGAGGGCGCTTGGATGACTTAGTCTTCGAGTCTTGGGGTCAACTCATACCACTACTCCGGAGGAGGTTGCACCTATCCATATGCATTCAGATTGGGAACCTCAAGGGCATACTGCGGGCAGGTAACGTAGAACTTTGAACATCGTCGGTACACAGCCAGCCCCAACAGCAATAGGTACTCCGTGAGAGCCACGTGTTGGTAGTCCGTTACACTTCATCCTCTCACAAAATAACACAAAGAACAAGCCCATTTCACAAAATGGCCGTGACACCGCTGTTATACTCGAACCGTGAATACCTAAGCATCTACCTCTGTGTTCTCACGTAAAGCTATTATCGCTTGTTTTTTGTCACCCCACGCACACGCTCTACACGACTCAATCTTCCATTCTGAATGACACACGTCGACCATACTCTAAAACTAACGTTGTTTGAGGCCATTCGATCCTTGAGATCCTACCGTTGAGAAAATCTACAAAGCCGCTAAACCTGCTCCAAATCCGGACAGTGACATTTAAACAACAGCAACGAAACACTAGACGGACTTCCTTCGTTCTACGCAGCGAATACGGCTTTGCCACAAACTGCGTAGCTGCACTTTCTCTTGACCGAAATTTCATGCAACTGCGCGGAGTCGCTTTCAACGAAAAAGGGTCCCGCAGCAGTGGCATCCTCCCAAGCAGGACGCTCCCTCCACCTCCGCTTTCGCGCGTGGACGCTCGTTCTCGCCTCTCCTCCCCGATGAACAAATCGTAGCAAATAGCTCAGAGCGCCAGGGGGGAGGAGAGGGGGGGCAGGGGTTGGGCCCGAGGGGCCACCTCACTATACCGCTTGGGCCTGAGGGGCCGAGGTGGGCCCTGGCGTGGGCTGCTGACCTTGAGGGGCGTTGCCACCCCGTCCTCTCCCACCCTTTGGCTTTGGTCGCGCCTGTCCCGCCCCGCCTCTGCCACCGCCAGCATACCCACCCCTTGTGCTACCACGGCCACCACCTCCGCCTCTAGCACGGCCACCACCTCCAGAAGCCTGAGCAGCTCCTCCACGACCACCGCCACCGCCTCCCCGCCCACCGTTAGCGGTACCGGCCCCGCCCCCGGCCCCGGTGCGTCCTGCTCCTACTCCACCGCGGGTGCCTTGGCCGCCACCGCCGGCCCCACCTCCTCCAGGTTTGTTCCGGTTGTGACCTCGTCCGCCTCGGCGTCGGGCGTGTTGTAAGCCGGTTGTGCCAAACGTGTCCATGTTCATGTCCATCTCTGCCGCGCGCGTTACACGCGGCTGGCGCCCTGATGAGACGCCGGACAAAAATGAAAGACGTGAAGGTTTGTGCCATAGATTAATAAGATACATTCGGACCCATCATCACAATACACATCTGCGATTGCCCCAAGACAACATACTCTAGACGTGCGCAAGACACAGGGAGTCCAGCTGGATTGTCCTCCATCGTGAAACCTAGCCAGCTTGACGCGTGTCCTGTGAAACAATAAAGCAATTGTCGTCAACTCTCTTCCTCCCGTACCTGCGGCACGGTCCAACACGTCGCACGAAATCTCATCGAAGAACGAAGACTTGTTGTATTTTTTCACGCTGTCCGTCGCCCCTCCAGCACCTCCCGATGACGCCGTGGAGTTGGACGCCTCCACGCTCAATCCCCCCATCTCCTTAGCCAGCTCTTTTTCCTGACAAACAAATATGAGGAGTTGGGGGAGGTACCGATAAACGAAAGCATTACCATACAACCTTGCAATAGACTTCAGGAAGGCAGACTGCGATACGCCACCGGCTGGAACCTGATGCCATGCTTGCACTCCGCCGAAAACTTTCATCCCACGGAACACGTGACCATACGTGGCAAAATCACGTTTTACGCCGTAGCCGGGAGCGGTACAGACCGTGCAGACTTTCCATTTTCGAAACCTCCTGGATACGATTAAGTGATGCTGACAAGCAACACGCACATGTCTCCCTCGGCATACAGAAACTGAAAAACCTCGCCAGCTGGAGTGCGCTCTCGCATAGCTATAGTAGCAGGATATCCATCCACCCCGGACCGAAGTTTTCCTGAAGACTACAAATGACGAACGGAACTCGGTTTCTTCCGACAACTGCGCCCTTGTTCGTGCCCAAAATGGGTACAGAGTGTTGTACAGGCACCTTGTCGAACTTCTGGAGCTCGCTTTGGAAGTCAAACTCCTGCGCGGTGGGAACGCTTGCCGCCCCCTTCCCGTCCGTCGCCGGGCCACCTCTGGCTCGGATATTGAGCAGGGCTTCTCCAGTGCCCACCATCGCCTGAATGGAACAACAGACGGGTGTCAACCAACATCGAGAGAGGGCACCGATCGAAAAAAGCTTCCAGCACCCCAACAGCAACAAGACAACGAGATGGTGCAACTTGTTTTATCGCTGACGAAACTATCCACACGTCCGATGCGTACATGTCCGGACGGCGTCCCCGTCATAAATCAACGCATGCCTATACCACTTGCACGAGGCCAAGCGACAGCGAGTGTGGTAAGGCCCTAGCTTCGGATCAGCAGCCGGTCGGTGTAGTTCGACCGAGGAGCGGCACGCTACGTTGACGTTCCTCGACCATGTGAGCGATCCGTTGTGGGTAGCCATGATCATTCGGTCTCCGAGTACTGGCAAAACTGTCTCGAACCAGACACGAACCACAAAGCTTGTCACTGCTTGCATAGCAAGTCGGCCGCGACACAGGTAAACTTGAATCCATCACAAGAAGGACCAGCAGTCCATCATCAAAACCAACAAGGCATGCCTCTCGCTAGTCATTCCTGCAGAGCACAAAAAAGAAGTTCAACTTTCTTGAGGGTGCACAGATCAAACTATGATTGTACGAGCTCTTACCCCAGGCGTCCGAGCAGGGGCTGAGGTGGCGCTAGTGCCACCAGCTGCTCCCCTACCCGCACCACCCCCATTAATTAGCTGACGAGATCTAGGTGTGCCGTTCCTCCGGCCCCGCGGTGCCCCCGTTGGCTGCAAACCAGAAAAACAGCAGTGTTGTGGGTCGAAACGGTATGGTTTGAAGGGAAAAACGGATATCAAAGCGACAGATTGGCACACGGGTACAACAGTTACTAATGGGGTCGCTTTACTCTGACCGTACCACCCTCTGCGAACATGCTCGTAACTGTCGATGCAGGCAGCTCACTCACGCGTAACATCTTGGCAAGATAGGATATCGCGGAAGAACATCAAATGAGTTCGAAATATCTGCAAAATTTCACATAATTCGGCACAACAGAAGGAAGCCTGCATACATAAACACATCACGCAAAATCAAGCACCTGCGAGGGGTGCTGGTGTTGCTGTGACCGAGGGGGCGGCCTTTGTCCCGTCGGGGCCCTACGTTGGTTTTGTTGAGCAGCCTGCCCAGCCGCCTGTGCTACACGGGGCGACGACGAGGCGGGCGCGGCCCTCCGTTGCTGTGCTCCACGCGCTACAGGCACCGGTCTTGCCGAAGGGGCTGGCTGCCTCTGGCCAGCTTGCGTAGCCTGCTGCCGAGCAGGAGGCCCATTCTGAGGCCCATTCGTAGCCCTGTCAAGGCGAGGAGAACCCCGTACACAAGGTCAAGATTTATGGATATCTTCTAATCAACCAAAGCCACCACCTAATCCTAAGGCGCCACGGTGTAAGGGACGGCGACACATTCCAGTGTGAGTGACTACCGCTAAGAACACAATCGGCGAGCGGGATTAGAAACACTAGCTCGTATCTCGGTGACATGCTAGACTACTCATCTCTCGTTCTGTGAAACGAAACAAAACCGACAGCGTTTGAAGTATCGCATGAGAGCTGTATTCTAGGAGAAGCCGAAATGGCGAAGTGAGGAGAAGACCACCTTTGGGATCCGGACGTTGCGCTCGTGAGTGCTCTCGGCTGCTGCTTTTGTTGCTGCTGAGCGTTGTTGACTTGTGGAGCTCGCGCGTGCTGTTGTGGTGGGGGGGGCGGGGGCTGCTGCTGCTGCTGCTGCGGCGGCGGCGGTGGCGGCTGCCGCTGCGGCTGCGGCGGAGGCTGGTGGGGCTGCGGCTGGTACGGCTGCTGCTGATGCTGGGCATCAGAATTGACAGCAGTTGAACGACAGCGAAAACACAACGATTCGTTCTTGCTATTAACAAGTGTCCCTCAAACAACACTTGCGCCTTCACACAATGAACTGATGTGTTGACAAGCAAGCACTCACCGTCTCACATCAGGATTCCCTTGCCCACAACTTCGCATCATGAGCAACTTTGTTCAACACAGACGAAAGGTGTCAGAAAGGTGTCAGCTTGAATGCACGATACAAACGTCCTCTCTTCCCAAGAGACGTGATAAAGTAGGGCTCGGAAGAAACAGCTGCTGCAGCAGCAGTCAGCGCCGATCTGCGTGGACCCACGCCGTCAACAGCCGGCACTCACCGATACAAAGGCGGGGCTGAGGAGGGGTGGAGGGCCACTTGGAGGCGGAGGACCAGTCGGCTGAGGCGGTTGGGCGAATTGAACTGGAGCAGTGGGCGGTGGCGGTGGCGCCGCCTGGCTTCCCTGCATTCAAAGGCAGACATTGTTGTTGTTGTTGTTGTTGTCTTCACATTAAAAACCGTTCCGATCTCTCTCTACCCAGTACCTTCATAAGTCCGTACTGATCCAACACTTGACGCGGTCGATTCCTGTAGTCACAGGCTAACTTACCCTAAAAAGGTACGCTCAAACAAACTGGCCCCGAGGAGTCCGCAAGTCAATAGGAATCAACTTTGTCCGCCGCCAAGTCGATTAATTAATAACTGCTGCGAACGACGACGTCAAAATTCTCCACGGAATCGTGACAATCGTAGATACATACCAAACACGAATTAACGGGACTGACACATCGAAAGATCCACTTGGAACACAGCTTTCTAGCGAAAACCAATTAGTTGGTACCCGCCCATCGACCCAGCCCCGCGCTGCTGCCCCCAACGATTGCGGGGCGTCATCATCGGATCCTGGTATGCAAACACACAAGGCATGCTGTGGTAACGGAAGTACATTGTTGGTGTTGGCTGCCTCGCGATTGGTCGTGTACACACAAACACAACCTAACACCTACCTCATCGGCCTCTGCGTCGTGCACGTGGAGATCCATTATGTCCTGTCCCCGGAAGCACACGAAATCATGAAGGACTTGACTTGGAGGAATGACGTGTCCCTCTACTCTCCCCTCGGTCCCGAAGCTTCGCACTGCATGTGTTCACAGTTCACAGCAGTCAACAAGAAAGGGGTAGCAGCAGTAGTACCCGTTTGGGAGGGGAATCGAGAGTGAGCGAGGACAAAAACGCCCTCCATGTAAACATTGCGGGTCATGAGATATGAACTCAAGTAGGCCTCCAGGCGGCTACTGTTTATTCGTGTCACGGAGTGAAAATCATGCATGCGGTGGCCACCATCACCGGGAGCTAGTCTCGAGTCGGTTGGCGCGAGGCTGTGCTGGGTAGGTACAGCGATCGCACGTTCGAACCGGCACTCTGGTGCCAGGTTGATTGCGTGCGCGAGGTCAGTTGGTGTACACTTCTCCAAGTGAACGACGAAATACAACTCATGGTATCGCATGGACAACCATATCCCTTCCTGGCGCCTTTACCCTCTTCTCCTTTTGGTAAAACGAAAGGAATAAAGGTTGCCGGTGTACCGCAGAGGCACCTACGGCTGTACATCAAAAGAGGAGGGAACGGCTAGACTTTGTAACCATTATCCACCACACTTGCCATTTTGGAGTGCCAGAGAAGCATCGCTGGTGTTGATGTTGTACAAAGTTCCCTCGTAGCGAATGTTCTTCTTGGAGATGAGGCTAATGCGAGAGCCCACGAGGGGCACCCCGGAGCCTTCTTCTGCCATGTCCGCCGCGTGGAAAGAGCGCCACACAGAGGATAGAACGTGTGTGCTTGGGTGCGGTGCCGCATGGGGGGACTATAGATGGGAAGACGGGCGTGTGGGATGTTAGATATGCCCAATTATTTCACGGGGCCTCTATTGATGCCACCCTCCACCCTCCTCTCGGCACTCGCAGACACCACCTCTGCCACAGCTCATTGTCGCTCTTCACAGATTATCACCGAGTTGTCGCCTTCAGCTCCTGTCCTTTATTCGAGGTGTGTTTGTGTGTGACCCACATAACATCACGGAACTGGTTCTCACTACTGCTTTTTGACCTGCCCGTCGTGAGCCAGCCTGTTCGACTGCTGTTGCAGGAACGCTGTTACAGTGTACAGCGTTACAGCTTGCTGCTGCTGCTGCTGTAGATGCGATGACCACCAACATGCCCGGAGACGAGGCGCGGCCAAAGATGATCACTGCGGATGGGAGTAAATTCGAAGTGGCAACACCAACCACTCTTGCGCGGTTGGAGGATCCACGGGCATGGCACGCACGCGGGGAGGGGGGGATACAGCGCCCGAGACCTCGTCCCGGGAGTGGGGCAATCGCCCTCCCCATGGCCCCACCACTACCAAAAGGGCGATCGGTTCCGCTGAAAAAGACGGTTCTCGAGGAGGAAGAGTACGTGGACCGCCTGGGGGAGATTATTGAAGGGGACTACTTCCCCAACAACGCCAAGATGTATCGAGCCCTCGCTGGGCTTGCCGACCATGGCCAAGACACCACACCTTCCCGCACACCGGCAGGTGGCTCCATGGTAGGCACCCCTGTGACTGGGCTACGGAGTATTGGCGGGTCTACTGATGGGGATGGCCTGGAGCTTCGAGTGAGTGGGGGCAATTCGGATGGACCATCGTCCTCGAATTGCGCGGGAAACGGCGGCGCCCTCACCAAGTTCGTTGCGACACATACGTCGGAGGACAACGAAGCCTTCGCCGAGCTACAGGTGAGAGGGGCGGCAAGATAATGATCTACTGTATCCTCTTCTCACAACAATGACCTACTGTAAGTAGCCGATGCACAACAGTCATGTGTTGGTTTCAGTCTTGTGCTGGCACTGGGGTGCGTATCCTCACTGGCGTTCGTGGAGTTGCGATCCCTCTGCTTCTTCAGCTGCACCGATCTACGTGTTGTGCTCCTTTGCCGTGAGACGGCGAGAGCTTGGAGAACACGTGCTTCCCATCAATGCCGTCTGTTTACCTTACTCAATTGGACCGGGTCTTTGCTAGATTTTGGGGTTCGCAACTGGCACGAGTTTAATGTGAAGACAACAACAACAACAACAATCGCCTTGATCCGCATTCGATTTCAGGAGAAAGACCAGGAGGCTTTTCGAAGGCGATATTTCTGGGCTTACGATACCACACCAGACGGGGAGGGCAACAACGCCACGTCTACCAAACTGTTAATACTCCCCAACGGCAAGATGATGTCCGTCGAGCGGCGGGAGCAAATGGACGCAGCTTGTGCAGATCGTCCAAAAATAGGAGATTCACGACCAAATCAGGTGAGACGTCGCAGACTCACGTGCAGTGCAGAGCACATTAGCGTGGCGCGTAGTAGACGGAGGTACTATTGTACGGCCTCGTGCTTTTCCGAACCCCAAACATGCCAGGCTCTGTTTGGGAATCACCACGTCGGTTCACGTCCTTCAGCCAGTCCTGTCACTCAAGATACCTTCGCACTTAGTTGCGCACATGACAAACATTTCCCCCTTCATGCAGTATTGCCACTCCCTTTTTTAAAGAAGATTGTCTGTGCGGGGTGTTCTCCCGTCAATGTTCTTGAACGGCACACCTCGTTGTTGGAGGATCATAGCAATCGCTGCATTCAGCCGACGATATCACGGCTGTTGCTGCAACATCGCCTCCGTACTCGGTACACGTAAAACGGATGTAACCCCCACGCGGTCATGAAGAAGTTGTGTTTCACCTGTTGTCGTATCTTGCTGCTTGCTGAAGGTGAAGACTTGGAAGCACAGGACACGAAACCAGCTTATGTTTTCTCCGAACTTGGCAGCGTCGAATGACATATGCAGAATCGAGCAAGCACCTACGGAGGCTGCTCAGCTTCTTGTGAAGGACGGGTCAACATCGGCGACGGCAACAACGAAGCGAAGAGTAATCAAGCAATCGGAAGAGGTCGTGAAGAGGGTGGCGCGGGCTACAGCAACATCTACCAAAGAATCTGCAGATGGCGACTGCCATTCTTCAAAGTCGTCCGGGGCTACCGCAGTAACAGCAGTCGCGGCAACTGAAGGAGGTTGTTCTTCCTCGCCCTCTAGCGATGAAGCTCTCACCGCGACTCCCGACCAACCGCACCAGGGCGAACCTGAATATCAGTCTTCAGGGCCACCGAACGCAGGAGGATCGACACAGCGGACCGAAATGGACGAACCTTTACATTGCCCGCCTCGCGTAGACTCGAACGAAGGCGTTGATGATTTTGGATCATCGGAATCACGGGCCGATGAGCCGCCCGCACCACCACGACCAGCACCACCAGTTTCGCGCGGTGCGGTAGTCGTCAAAGCGAACCCCAAGGTTATTCAGGCCCATGCAACGAGGTTCCCGGTCCCCGCGCCACGGAAACCAAGCCGAGGTCCTTGGGCATCCCCAATTGAGAAGCCCTCGTCGTCGCGGGAATCCGTTGCGGAGCTGTTGGCGGGAACGGCGGACTCGTCGGGGTACGAGGAAGTACCTATGACACCTTCGAGAGTACCAGGCGTGGATGGAGACTCTCCGCAGATCACTTGGGGTTCCATTGACGGCACTCCCATGATCCTCGACCCGCGTGCCACTCCTCTCCCAGAGGCCGGCAGGGGGGCCATGGACGTGGCGAGTTTCATGGAGACACTCGGAGGCGTCGTTGGCGGGGTTGGCCAACAGCAGTTCGAGATTAAAGATCTCCCTGCGCGAGACAAGCTTGCGCACCGCCTCGAGGCCGTAGACACTCGCCGGAAGCGAGCGAAGCTTGGGGCCGGCGCGGCCGCAGACGGAAGGGGGACGCACACGCCCGCGCCGGCAACACCGATGACCCCTCAGACGCCCGGCACAGGACGACGAACCCCCGGGACGGGGAAACGAACGCCCAGGGGTGGGAGGACACCCGCGAAGGGAAAGGGAAAGGGAAAGGGAAAGGCTGCGGCGGTGACGCCTGCCGCTCGAAGCCTGGCGGCGAGGCTAGCTCAGCGGCAGAGCGTCGACACACCGTTCGGCGGTGGGCTCACTCCTGGACGGCAAAGAAGGCGAACCGACCGCTCGGGGGGGGGGGCTGGTGCCAACCGAGGTGGGCTAACACCTCTGCCGGCTTCGCCTGCCCCGGCAAAGAGGAAGTCGGGCGCGCCTGAACGCAAGACGTCGCTTACGGATGGCCTGTTGACCTTGAAGTGAATAAACGTGTTTCCGTTCGTTGTTACAATGCGGTGATGTTGCCGTTGGTAGGGTGGTGTTGATGACATGTACCCTCGCTGGTGGGGGTGTACGCTGTCACTACCCAGAGGACGGCTAGCGCAGAAAAGGGTCCCGTAAAGAGGGTTGCTAGCGTCTGTAAATTGAGGGTGATTGATGCGCGTTTGTCGTAGAAGATGAAGTACTCTCCTCGAAAATCGTAGCGGTGTTGCTACAGGATGAAAGTTCTTTTGCTAAAATGAAGGGGGGTGTTGTTGCCGCTCTTTTCGTGGCACAGACAGTGAATCGGGGCTGGCATAAAAACGCTAGTTTATCCCGCGCAGTGAGTGGAGCATTGTGAAATCTCTTGCGCTGCCCAGGGGGGACCAGAGGGGGGGTGTACTCATAGTCGTGCATGCCGTAGTCGTTAGACCATTGACCTCGCATCCCTACAAAGCCGGGACGGAGCACGCCGGGTCCTCACCGGACCAGGCTCTCACATCACCAAGCGCGAAGCGCCGTGAGGTATTCGGCGAGTCGCATGAAGGGTGCGCTGCATCCTGCTAAGGGTGTTCGGCATCTTGTGTTTACTTCCTTGCGTACGGATGACAGCTGCGTATGACTTCATTTATTTTCTGGTGCTTTCACTTCCAGAGACGGTTGTAAGCACTGTGAAACTGCCTCAAGGGTGCTTTACCATTTTAACACAACGTGGTGCGATTATCCCCCTTGCGCGGAGTGAGGGTTCTCGACCCCGCACAACATAATCTACTCGACCACCATTCATGGTTACCGCAAAAAAAAACGGTAACCTGGTTGCCAAGTTCACGGAGTAAATTGGTTTGTTCTACAACGCCGTTGCCAAGCGACGAAAACCCAACCCCGATGGCGAACACCGGGGGCGGGGGACCAGGGGCAAGCACATAAAATGCCTGCCCGCTGCCGACAGAAGTCCAGAAGCTCATTTTGATTTTCACTTTCCCATTCGTTCACCCTCGTCAAGTGGCCCAGCGGTCCTCAACATCTTACAAAACATACCTCCAACAAGACGAAACTTCACCGGGTACATAAATCAAACCGTGCTCACGCAGCTTCTTGACTCACTCGTCGATCGTGATTCTTTCGAGAATTGCGAGCAATAAACTACCCGACCAAGAAAAACAGGAAAGAAACTCGCAGATACCATGAAATGAATCAAGCAACGTTCCGTATCGCGGTGGCAAAATCGGCCGGCGGCCGTTATTGCCTCGAAGTTTTCCAAATGCTACAATATGTGTCACTCACGCCCAAACGTGTGTCTAGCGTACAACCAAAGTTGTTGTCAAACTCTTCGTAATACGAGTACATGCAGCAGCCCACTCAGCAACGTAATGCATCCGCAGCGCCATACGTACAGAAGTTCGCCTACGGCGGCAAGGTGTGCCCTTTACAAGACATTTTTCAGAACATACGGATACATCAAGACAACCGCTACCTGCTGTGTTCATCTGGGGGGCGTTTGTTGATGAGAAGGCACCATCAGAAAATGTAAATGGTGTTTACACAACCATAGTCCCGCGCCAACCGACTGCCCAATGAAACGAAATCAGTCTTGTAGAGCCATAAAAACATGAACACTCTCTTAATCAAACGGTATGTGTGCGTGTGCGAACCACAACACGTCACGTGCCACACCGCGCTTTCAACGGATGTTCTCCGTTTCAACGTCCAACGAAAAAAACACTGAATGAAGCAGCTGTTCTGGTGTGTTTAGAATAGGTGGTTGTCGGGCGGTTCCTTGTAGACGTTCATGCTTCGATACCTGCGGCGAGACGTGAAGACAGCACGCAGCAGGCGGGACATGATGAGGGCGTGGTTGCATACATTTTCATCCCTTGGCAAAAAATTGAAGAAGCCAAGCATTGCAGAAAGAACGATGGAGAAACAACGAACTCCAGTGTGTGTGTACCTTCTTCGTGTGACCCCGGCTGGTGCATCAAACATAGAATATACCGAAAGGTTGAGACTGGCGCCCAGAATAGATGGAACGAACGAAACAACCACACACACGACACGGGTTCAAAAATCGACGGCCAACAACGTGGAGATACTTTACTCTACAAAATGGAACCTATTTCAACTTTTGGACTTGCCCACAGCAGAGAAGTGAGTGGCGTGTGTGAGAGGTCTACAGTGGGTAACCCCGTGCTTACATCGTGTTGGCCTTGCTCGAGGAGTTCCCTTTCAAATATTCGCTGATGGCGCTCTGCAGCTCCTGAAACCGCGGAATATCCTCTTCCACCGAGCTCGCGTACGGTGCCAACCGCTGCCAGAAAAACGTACGGCACAGCAAACCCGTTCTAGGTATCGGTTGGGACTAGTAGGAACACGAGGCCTGCGAAAGAGTGTCGAGATCTAAAATTAGCCCCCCGACCCCCAGTGCACTGCCTCTTTCGGCTGGTTGACCCGATTGTGTCATGGGAATATTGTCGTTTCCACTATTATATCAGCGGCGCTCTTTCGGAAATGAAGGTCCTTCCTTGCCTTCGTGCATCTGGGTCGGAGAGAACATTAGCAGTGGCTGACAGACAGGGCGTGCGACATGGCGCTCACTTCGTAGATTCCTCACTTGAGTGATGAGTGGAACGAGGGTGATGATTTCAATGATTTCGTCCTAGAACTTGTTGATAGCAGTCCTTGTCCAGTCTAACATCTTGAACGGTCTGAACCCCATACCTTCTCGAACTCCTTCTTGCCCGCTTCATAAAGGGACCGATCCAGCCTTGTGAGGTCATCGATTTTTTGTTGCACCTACACAATCGATCACGTGGTTGGGATAGGAGACTCAGCTTGGGTCTTGATCTGCCGATGTACTATGTAGTGGATAAACTGGGTCAAACGCAAACATCGTTTCAATGCAAGTTTTACTATTTATTGCTTGCCCTGGGCGTGGAGCGGTGGCGTTCAGATACCACGTACTCGACAGTACAGATCACGGGACACCGGATAATCGCCACACAATAGAACCGACTGTATCTCGAGAATGTGCTCAGCATCTGCGATTAAACTATCCTCCGACATCTCGAGGCTGGTGCTTACATAGATCATATTTTGTTGTACCATATAATGTTGAAAACGTACTTTTTCAGTCATCACCCGGTGGTGGGGTGATGGTGTATGTCTCAATCTCTGACTTGCCTTCGAAGGGAGACTGTCGAAATGCGGTCTGGAGACAAACGGCTTGCCGTCCCATCGTCGTGACCCTGCCTTCGTCTCGTTCAGGTCGCAATAGGTTAGATCAATCATGTGCCAGTGCAGCATGCGCGCAAGAACCAACAGCCCCTCCTCCAGCCGCTCCGTCAGCAATATCTGCACGAAGCGGAGAGTTTATTCAACGTATGCATATGCGATAGAAATAATGTAAACGTGCAAAGTTCACACTCTTGCACATGCACACGTTGAAACAGAGCTGCCAAACTTAAAACTTACTTTTTCTGCATCAATTCCATGAAAAACGGCGTTAAGGTTGAGTTGAGTGTTTAGTGTTATCAACGGGGCTTGGATAGGCTTACTCAGCTTACACGAGAAAGTAGTTAGCGTATGAGCAAGCAATGTTTGCAGGATTCCAAGCGTCAACGGAATTACCTTGAGAGGGGACGGAGGCACGGATGGGGTGGAGGGGGGTCGGAAACGACAACTTGTAGGTTCGCGACGAGATCAGAGAATGGAAGACCCGGGCTTTGGCCGTCATCGATTTACAACGGTAAGTGAGCTGGTTCTGTCTTCACTACTCACGCTAGACGGGGACAACAGGGGCTGTTCATGGCGGCATGAATCACAGGCGAAAGCATCTAAGCGCTCTCCGTTCAGGTTTCGATATTTACTCGAAGGCAGCTCAGTATAGATAGCAGTCACAGACAACAATCCATCACCAACCGGTGGCAAAACGTGAGCTGTTGCCTGAAAACCGCCCTTTTCGGGGGTTGGTCAAACTCACAAGGAGAGGTTTGCACTATCAGACGGCAAAAGGACAACGAGCATTGATGCAGACAAGACATGTCTCGTTATAGTATGCTACACCAACCTCACCAGCTTGAAGTCCGGTAGCGTATCACTGATGAGGCTGTCCAGCTGTTCCGCCGTTCGCACCCCGAACTCTGCCGAGAGTGGATTGTACAGGAGCTTGTGGTCCTTGCTAGAGCCGGCAGTGTGCATTAAGAACTCCTCGATAGAGATCTGAACCGAAAGACGAAAGGGAGAGGGCACAATCCGTTTGCTGGTGTCGTCGTCGTCGTAGTTGTTCATGTTGTGGCTGTCGTCAACGCATTGATCATCGGTATGTCCTTACCCCAACATTACCGAACCTCTATGAACAAACGTCAGTTTCTGAGCGCGAGAGGCGACTCCCATGATATCTCTGGCCTTTTCCGCTCAGTCAGGCGTACAGGAGGGTTCGGGTTAGGGGAGACAAGTGCCTGAAGAGTTACAGTAAAACGTTCGGTGGGGACAGAAGAGGACCAACGACAAGCACCGCGTGTTAAAGTAGAGTGAGCGGTTGCTTGAACACTTGCCGTACGCTTGGGGGCCATTTTGCGTGAAGACCCCTTTCCGAACTCACAAGTCACTCTTACTCCACAAAATATGTATTTTCTTCGGCAATACTGCCAAACCTTCGCTTCAAGATGTTTTTTTATATCCGACCCTGAAGGTGCTGTGCCCGATGATTCTCGAGCTATGCCAGCGCAGGGAGGTTGAACGGGCTGCACACACTTTGTGGTGAAACGGTCGAGCAATAAGTTCTCTTTTCGCCATATATACCTGATTTCTCGGCTGGATATAGTAGTAGTAGTAGCTGTGAGACCATGCCCATCCATCAGTACACAAGGCGACCATTCGAGCGTCAACGGCACAGCGAGCGAAAACATACGAGAGGAGCGAGAAACGAGGAGTGTACACGGAAAGGTGGCGGGTATTTAGAAATGTCAATGATGCACAAACGGGTCCCATAGAACGCGGCGATCTAAAGGGCCTGCTCGTTCATTATTGCATGACGCTCACAGCTGAGGTCAAGAAAAGAAGCCCGTTGAAGCTTTTCGCGTGAACAAATGCTTGGCCAATGCTCACACGTGTTACAACATGAGCAGTGAGGCATCCTACAAGCGCATCCCCCATTCCAATCGCTGCCACCCTTTCGAATGACGGCATATTCCACTGCCTTATATGCATTCTTCAGTTACCTGAGAAGGTGCGATCGAGGCTCACGAAGTACCGTGACGAAGTTAATGTCATCAGGATCCCGCATTATGCGTCGGTAGTATTTCACGGCCTCGTCCCAAGTGCCAGTGTACTGGCCTTGTGTGGTGATGTGATAGTGCATGATGTCGACAAGCTGCCTATCTTCTTTCGTCTAGTCATCACCAAGAGAGTTTTCAACGGCCGGGCGCCAAAGCGGGGAGGAACAAGGGGGGGGGGGGGGGGGGGGGGGGCCCCCTTTTTTGGTTGGCCTTTTCCTTTTGCCCTTTACCCCCCCCCCCTTTTTAAAAGGGG